ACGAGGACAGGCCCCGCCAAGGCTCCGTACACCTAGCACCGCTTGCTACGATCCTACATGCTCCGCTACTTGAAGATGCAACGCGCCATAACGCAATCATTACCATGCACGGGCGTAAACCACATGTTCAAAAGTGTGAGACCGAAAATCGCTGTTCATTCAATGCGCACGACGCCTATACAGGAAAAGGCGGTCGGTAACTCAATACCACGCACAAGATGGCTTGTATGCGCCAACGGGTTACTGGCTAGTGCGAGTGCTGATGTCAGAAACAGCATGCGCTCTACATGCGGAAAGACACGCGCTCTTTGATTCAAATCGCGCCCCGCCGACACGAAATCGCGCAGGGGGGTAAGTGGCTGCGCCAATGCGTCAGCGGCTGCGCATTCGAAGCAACTTGACAATTCGGTTTCGAAAAATCAATGTTGCACAGAAAAACAAAATATGTATACACGAAAAAACACGCGCATAACTGCAAAAAAAACACGCGCACAACATAGACACACGCGTACAACGTGAAAGCACATCGCCGCTAATAGATATGAGCCATGCGCCTATTACGTGCCCGAAGGGACCCGAAAGGGGCCCCCAGAACCCAGAAGGGCCCAAGAGGGGCCCAGGAGGGCCCTCAGAGAGCAACGGGGACGTGCCTCCCCGACGCTTCAAGCGAACGTCTGGAAGGGCGAACGCGCATCCCCCAATCTGGGAGAAGGGAGGCCGTCTTGGGGCCCGCCTCGGGACCTCTGCAGGACCACCTTGGAGCTGCGCTGAGGGCCCCATCATATGTATCCGACCCGAGCTTGCCGGGGCTTGCCCAGGGCACTTCTCCTCGGGGACCCCCCCGTGGGGCCACCGGGGGGAGGCGCGGCGCGCGCCCAAGGACACGATCACGCGCGTGATGCCGTACTGGGAGTCGGAGATCCAGCCCCGGGTGAAAGCAGGACCCCCCCCCCGCCGGGGGGGCCTCCGTGCGCGACAGGAAGCAGGGGCCGCGGAGCGACTTCGGCGGGAGCCCGCAGGCGGCGCACAGGGCGTTGGCGCGGCTGTTCAGCGCCAGGGCGTCGGAGTCCTGCGCGCGCGCCCCGCTGGATGCGCCTCGCGCCTGGAAGCCACTCCTCCTCCTCCTCCTCCTCCTCCTCCTCCTCCTCCTCCTCCTCCTCCTCCTCCTCCTCCTCCTCCTCCTCCTCCTCCTCCTCCTCCTCCTCCTCCTCCTCCTCCGCCTCCTCCTCCTCCTTCTCCTCCTCCACCTCCTCCTCCTCATCATCATCATCATCATCAGCAGCAGCATCAGTATCAGCATCAGCATCATCAACATCATCGGCAGCAGCAGCATCAGCATCAGAATCAGCATCATCATCAGCAGAATCAGCATAAGCATCAGCATCGGCATCATCGTCATCATCATCATCATCATCAGCAGCAGCAGCAGCAGCAGCAGCATCGCCAGCATCAGCATCATTATCAGCAGCGTCATCGTCAGCATAATCAGCATCAGCATCAACATCAGCATCATGATCAGCAGCATCATCATCACCACCATCATCATCAGCATCATCAGCATCAACAGCAGCATCAACATCGACGTCATCATCAGCATCATCAGCATCAGCATCATCAGCATCAGCATCATCATCAGCAGCATCATCATCAGCAGCATCATCGTCAGCATCATCATCATCATCGTCATCATCATCATCATCAGCAGTATCAGCATCAGCATCATCATCAGCATCATCATCACAATCAGCAGCATCGTCATCACCATCAGCATCATTGTCAAAATCAGTACCATTACGGTCATCAGCTGCATCACCCTGATACCATTGATACGATCAATCTTCAACAGCAGCATCGTCCCTCGTTAACGTGAGCATCAGCATCGGCGACGACCCTAAGAGGGACGAGAATTACAAAAGCATGCAAGTGCGATCGTAGTATTTCACTAGTGTCAGCATCATCAGAACAATCACCATCACCACCTTCGTCGTCGTCATCCTCATAGTCATAGTCGTCTGTGGCACAATCACCACCGCCACCACCACCACAACCGCCTCCAACAAAATCACAACCAACATCATCATCATCATCATCATCCCCATCATCATCATCATCCTCATCATCATCATCAGAAGCAGCATCATCATATCATCATCCTCAGCATCATCGCCATCATCATCATCATCATCATCATCATCATCATCATCATCATCATCATCATCATCATCACCGTCGTCAGCATTACCATCATCACCATCGTCACCACCTTCGTCATCGTCTTCGCCGCCAGTCCGTGGTTCACGCCTGTCCACTCACTTCGTCCCATGAGAGTAGAAAAACATCACAATCATCAGCAACAGCGGCATCATCGTCACCATCGCTCGCTCACTCACTCACTCACTCAATCCTTCTCTCATTCCCCCGCCCCTGCCGCCTTCTTCTCTTCTCGGTGTTCCGCCCTCCCTCCCGTCTCCGCCGCCTGCCCTTCTCCGTCCCCCGTTCTGCGGCCTCGATCCCTCGATCCCCCACCCCAGCCCGACCCGCTCCACCCTTCCTCGCCCTCTTGAGTGCCAACACGGCGCTCGCGGCACTCAAGATAAGCCGTCACGCATGTTCCCAGGATCAGGGAGTGCCTCCCTCTTCCTCCGATTGGCGCATCTTCTCCCCCCCCCTCTTTTATTGTTGCCCGCCGTGCGACAGCCGAACAGCCCCAGGTTGAAAAGGGGCTGTGATCGGGAGCGGCCAAGAGGGGGGTGTCCAAGAGGGGGGGGTGCAACTCATGACCGGCGGCATGTGCGCGGCCCAGCGGGGGGGCCAGGGACGTAATGAAGCAAGAAGAGGCGCCATGAGATCTGGGGAAATATCATGGCCCACGCCATGATATCCACCCCCCCCTAGTCATCACCCCCCTCTTTGCCGCCCCCGATGTGAAAAGGATGCGAAAGGGACAGGAGCCGTGCCCGGGCAAGCGAGCTCATCTTCACGCTCCGGTGCGCCGAAGAGGGGGGGTCAGGAAGAGACGGGGCTGGCGCATCGCATCATAGATAGCCCGAGGCGTGTGCGCGGACGAGGGGGGGGCCCGGGGCGTACTGAAAGAAGAGGCGTTGGCAATAAAATCTAGAAGGCATCATCGCCCCGACCACGACATTCACACACACACACACACACGTACACACACAGTATTCACCTCCCTCTCGGACGACCCCGACCTTCCACTCATCCCTCCCCGCTCCGTATCCCCAGATCTCCGATGCCCTGATTGGTTCAACACGGGTCGATGGTCCTCCTGACGTTCGTTCCGACCGACGCGTGCGGTGCAATTACAGTCGGATTTGATTGGACAGGACACGCGAGAGGACACAAAACCCTTCCGAGGGCCACATTGCCATAGGAGTGTAGGAGGCATGGGTCGCGAGACACAGGACATAAGGGTACCCTTGATTTGGCACTGTCGACATCCTAATCAGGGCCGACTGTAGTGAGGGTCTGCACGGGCTGCGTGATATCGGAAGAGCAGAGCGGGGTAGACACACACTGGGCCAACACACGTCCTGGGGATCATCGAACGGGGTCGGACCTCTCGGCAGCTTCCCGGGGACCTGGTTTTTCATCCCGGATCTTCTGGTGGCAGTCCGGGAGCATGAAAACAACGTCCAGGCACTGGAAGCGGTCAAAACTCGCCGCACTGACTCGGTCAAGACGTTGGATGTCTGGGTCCTCTCTCCCTCACATCTCCTCTCCCCCTTCACATCTCACGTCTCGCTCCTCCGTCCGTCCTCTCCTCCCTCCCTCTCTCCTTCAATCTCGAGAGATTGGCTACACGCAAGAGTGAACCCAGGCAAGGGTGGCATTTGAAGCGTGGCTTTAGGGGGCCGCGGTCGACGGAGATGGGGAGGGGGGGGAGGGGCGGCAAATCCAAGCGCGCAAGCAAGTGCATGGGGGGGGCAGCCCAAAGGGGGCTGGCATAGACGAGGTCGGAAGATCGCGCCACATCACCTGTGCATCCGTGATGCGCCAGAACGTCGGAGTGGAAAAAACCTGCCTCCAGGTCGCGCTGCATCGCCGATGCATCGGCGATACGGGGCACTTATCCGATCCCCATCTACTCAGGCCTCTTTTGGGCGGCCTGGACCTGTGGGCCCGCAACGAAGATCACCCAGGCGAATGATCATTATAACGCGCAACCGGGAGACCCCTGGCAGTGATTGCGTTGCAGTTTCGGAAAATTTTGCCTGTCACGCCGCGTCGCGATTCGCGTCGAACTCGCTTAGAATCCCTGTCGAAACAGAGTTGAACGCGCGTCGAGTCCGAGCCGAATCCACATGGAATTCGTGTCGAACCCGTGTCGGATACAAGATGATACAAGAAAAGACCGCCATTGGCATGCACAAGACAGACAGGCAAGGTGCCCCCATCATCCGGCGCAACAGTACACGGAAGACTGTCACCCGCTCCTCATCCCGAGCCGTTTCTGGATGGCCCTGGAGCCCAGTGAGGACCCACGGAGGGCGAAAGCTGCCAAAAGGCCCTTCCGTCGTGATCTCTTCGCAGCGCGACGAGGTCTGCGTCGCCAAGAGGCCTGGGGGCGTGGCGGCAGGCCAGAGGCCAGGCGGCGGGGACCTCCAGAGTTGGATGCTTCGGGCGCACGCTGACACGGAAGAGGGATCCGTGGATCTGGCGCACGGTCGCCAGATCCATGGATCGGGGACGGCACCCCCGAAGCATGGCGCCAGAGCCGCCCGATCTGGCGGCGGAGCGCGCCAATGCTGCACGGAAACGGAGCCCGTCGCTGAGCCACTCGCCTGAATCCCTGTTTGCGCGTCCTTGGAACTTGCCAGAAATGTCCCTGGCCCAAGGTGCCCCCAGTCCCCCCGGCCCCCAGAGCACCCCTGACCAGGTGCACAGTTTCCCCCGGGGCCGTAGGCAACCCGAGGAGGAGGAGGAGGAGGAGGAGGGGGAGGAGAAGGAGGAGGAGGAGGAGGAGGAGGAGGAGGAGGAGGAGG